AACAAATACGTAGTACAAATGGCTATTGCAGTTCTCATTATATAAATGAGTTACTGTATGGGAATCTTATTTAACACATCTGAACTGCTCCAAATCAAGTTACACAGGTTAATATATATATATATTCTAATGGGGTTATTTAGAACAAGGTAGTTGATGTATTTCGAAGGAGGTCTTTTATATAACAACACAGAACGATGCGCTTCCACCACCGTTGCTGATGCTACCAATCATAAGTGAAAAAAAATTCAATCCAATGTAATAAATAGGTAATTTTATATACTATTATCTTAAGCGTTTGCGGACTGAGTGAGCTATGCAGGTCCTGCAAGGACAGGCCATATTTCGTTGTTGTATATAGACGTAATTGTGTAATAGAACTTAGGGTTTCATGTAGTCACTGATATATTTATTCATTCAATATTATCTTGTTCGATAAATAAATAGTTATAAATTTTATTTCCGATAGGGTGTAGAGAAGAAAAGCTTTCAATCCAACCTATTTTGTTTTTTTCTTGAAATAAAAACAACCAATGCCGCCATGCATTGTCTGTGCTCGCCCGTTTATTGCCGTAAGTAGATGATCGTTGCGAATATTATAGCTATGCCTATGTATCAATCCATATAAACGATTCTTCTGCGCTTAGAAAGCCAACGGCGCATCCCTGCTCTGAGCCAAATTGGCTCTATCTCTTGCTCGTAATCAGTTGATCATCGACAGCTTAACGAAGACGATACGGTAGTAACAGCGTTTTACGAACAACGAAACAGTAACCAATTGAACGTGCCAACTATTCAAGTGCTGGCCACGAACGAGGCTTTGACCTGCGTTGTATTTCAAAATGTGGGACAGCGCATCTGGCCGAGCCTCTTTAATAGGGTCCAGGTGGCCTATATGACAACGACGCTAGCCGTTTCAACTTTGGTTCAGATCGGTCAAAGAAAATTCTAACCCGCATTCAAGTTGCTTCGAACAACGGCAACGCGGAACACAACCCACTGAAACGGAACGACGAATTTCAAAATGTACATACTTATGTACACCAACCACTTGGGCCATTGCCAGCCATCAACTTGTGGTAATAACTGGTAATTACTCATCGTTGTTAAACCAAACGGACACGTTTTCAGTGTTGCCAATGAAAAGCCGGGAGATCTTTTAGCATTTCCAAGCTCGATATCTGGATTTATATATATATATATATATATCCATGAAATTTTAGAAAATAAAAGACGAACCTACGCTATGTAGCACCTGCTTAGCTAGAACTGTGATCAGCTGAACTGTTATAACTGTGATAGATAAATACCAATACACAAAAATGCATGGGCATGGCATCATCTACTGTTCAGACGGAAGCAGTCATACTAATAATCACCATAATACTTATCAAGCTCTCTATGGTATAAGTAGTTAGGTACTTCATTGAGAGCGATTAGGCAAATCCTAAGCACCTATTTTCCAATATGCTTCTGTTGCCCTTGCTAGCAGCGGCTGACGCTGTCGGTCTCCAACTCACTTCAGTTCATCTTGCGTGAAACTCTTTGGCCACTTTGCTTTGTATTGCTTGGGCAAATTGTTGCCTTCTTTAGCCTCTTCATTTGCTAGCTATCGCCTCACAAATGATTAGAGGTTGCCGGTGAGGCATCACTTGCTTTCATCAGCTTACGCCTCTGCCCAGGACGGTCCGCTATCTGGTTGTCCATTCACAGACAAAATAAGGACCCGATGGTTTCAGGAGCCACTCAGAACCTCTTGTCAATTTCCCGCTTGCTCCGGTATAAAGCTCTTCGCTTCACTGATCTACAGCAAGTGGTAAGGCTAATATCAAAATACCGGATCTGGAGAATCGTCTTCAGAGAGGAGGTGCGGGGAATAAACCTATGAAATTATAGAATTAAGTCGCCAGGCAAGTCGCCTAACGCAAGAGACAAAGAGGAGGATTTATATATATATGCATATTATCATAAAACTTATCATACGAATTAGTTATTATATGGACGAGGCAAATTTCTAGTATGATTTTCTAGTAGCGGACTGTGGCGAAAAGCAGATACAGACACGCTGAAAAACTACAGTGTGTCTTTCAATACCTTATAAAAAGGACCGTATAATTATATCAGAGAGAAAACTATGAATCATAATAAACTAAAGAATTGTTGCAAATCAGAGGAGTATATCTAGCAAAACAACGGTTTGCGTTTACTAATCGACTCTGCGTTGCATTGATAAGTATTCTATACATACGAAAATACCAAAGCTTATCAACGGAAATAGTAAATGGGGTTGATATAAAAGTGAGTATTGGTTTTTCCATCTATACGTATCCAATACGCCCCAGGCGACTGGTTTTGGACAATTTTTCATGACATGGAGGAGAGATGTTTGCTGACAGAATATACAACGTGGGAGCAAAAGCCCCATGACAATGTTAGGATACTCATTTTTGTCTCTATAATTCATTTAATAAGCTTATTTTTCAAGCTGTCAAAATGTGGTCTCAAAGGGGCATCTTCACACGGGTAGTGAAAGCTAGCTGGCGCAATTGCTTCTAACTGCCGGTAATCAAGTACACTTTATTGCTATTCAGCCTCATCCACGTCATTGGAGCAGTTCTGCTTGGTAAACATGTATTGATGGATGATCATAATGGCCGGGTCCTAAAGGCACAAAGGCGCTTAAAGGTGTGGAGCGTTGTGTTGAAATCTAGAAGACCAAGAAGCAGGTGATTTAATGGGAAAGGAAATCTGGTCATATTGAAACAGGCTTTTTATTGTGAACGTTTAATGTCGGCCTGTTTAATATTATGGCGATTATCACAGACGCAGTGTAGGATACTATAACTGGACTACCAGCTATGACTAATGAAAATAAACAGCTTTGAAGGGGTGATAAAGACAGTTTCACAATAGCAACACCTTTTTATCGAATTGGCTTGAGATGAAACAGTGTCCGGCTTTCAAAGCTTGCCAAAACAATTTCGATTCTGTAAGAAAATGCGACAGTAGTTGAATGGAGTAAGCGGACAATTTGTTCACACCGGGCCTTTTCTTGACCCTATCAAGGATACGGTAAAAGGCACCACCGCAATGATACGATTTTGTGCTACGCTTTGATAGGTTAAGCCACGCCAACGGCGTCTGGTACGCGCCGTACTATGAACCGTATGAGCTTTACTCTCAACGAATGATTGTGTTATTAGATGCGGTACTGGGAAGGAATGCCGACAAAATTAAATCTGAAGGAAAGTCCGCTTTTAAAGCATATTCCTTGCAAAATGGAACTTGCATGAAAACAAATGGAACGGGACATGTTTTGGCTACGGAGCAATGCAGAACTGTCTGACGGGTGTACTGAGTACGACCTCTAGGTTCAAAGTTCGAACTTCTCTACGTTCTGAACGCCCATCTTAGTTATATATCAAGCTTTGTCTACTGAACTGGATTTATGTACGATATATTGTACGCGCATCTAAATGCTCAGTCTTTAGTTTTAATTATACCGTCTTCAGAAGAAAAAGCCTTTTGAATCTGTGTACAAAACAAAGTCGCGAAGTCTTCACGAAGGCGTAATGCATCAACACACGTATAGGGAGCCCCACAAGGTTAGACTCTAATGTAGTAAAGTTATATTAATTATTCTCATACTGTATCCGTATGAAACAGATTGCGTAAAGGTCTAATAGCTTTTCTGGTCGATTTCAATAATGTTGTTTTAAATCAGACGCCTCTGTGGAAAACCCAATGAATGAGGACGCATTTAAATCAGTGGTCTTGGTTGCAGTCTTGATGTCTTCATGCCTTTTCTTATATCACTCAGCGCCTTATTCTAACCTTCTATTGGGTCTTGCCTTATCGATCGCCTGCGAAGTTAAGCCAGATAACACGTCTAAAGTACAGAATGGCCGTTTAAACGTACACACTATTCAAAGCTATTGCCTTGTACTTAGGGCGCACCAGCCGACCCGCTCGCTATTGTGTCATTATACATCCTTCAGATTCATCTTAGAGGGGTTATCCAAGTATATTATACACCCAGGTAACAGGTAACTCAATAATTACTAAGCTCAGTACTCTGTAAGTGCATCTTTGATATATCTTCGAAATGATTATAGCAAATAAAGGATGCGATGTATCGTTTGATACAGATATAATCAAAGCCTAACTGTCATCAGGACCTACTAATTATCCATGAAACATTTTCTACTGTGAAAACAATCTATTCAATTTTGCAACAATAGAAAACCATAAATTGCTCCGTTATGTGACATACGACATAATTTACCTGCATGGTTGATCTGAATGCTAGTAAGAGGCAGAAACAATCATGAAAACAAAGCGGAACAGCATCAAGAAGCCTATTTATCCAACCTGATCTAATTCATTTGAAGGAAGACGCGCCAAAAAAAGCAATGATTATTCCCTAGTACCCGCTGGCTAAGACGGGTTTTTCATTGTCTTTTGTTATTGTTAGTTCTTTTGGAGTCACTCTATTTCTTCTTGTTTTGCTGTTATTGCCTCCTTGTTTTATTATAGCCTTGCATAATTTCCCTTATTTCTGCTCTACCTACGCTACGACACAGGTACTTTTCCTTTGATCGATTGGGCGGTAATAGTTTTTTGAGTGCGCCCCATCGTAGCATTCTTCCTTTCTACGCTGGAATAAAAAATTGCAGA